CCCCAAAACCCCAAAACCCCAAAACCCCAAAACCCCAGGCCTCATATAAATTATTGATTGTCCAATTCCAAAATGGCTAAGATCAACAAACTTAAAACAGACCGTGATTCAGCAAGGCCTTTATGTGCAGAAATAAAGAGAAGTGGAACTAAGCAAAGGGGCGAGCCTGCTGCTCTTGATTTTTCCCTTCTCGGCTGCAATCTGAACAACATTGTAGAGAACGAGATAATGTCAGAATCTTCGAAAAATCAAGATTTTTATAAGTCCTTCGGTAAGTACAAGAACGGAAGTATGATAAACAAGCCGTTCAAAGACATTCAGCCCAGAGTAAAGCTCTCCAATCAGAGCAATAGCGTCTGAATGATAGAGGGTAGACCTCCTCCGAATGAGAACTATCATAAATATGGAGCTTACAAATGGCCAAATATGGGCGTTGAGCCTCCAGTTTCTAATATTAATGAAAAAGATTTTCATAAAGAATCTAATATACATGTTGAATACCGCAGACAGGACACTGCTGGAACTAAATAAGCCACCAAAACCACCTAGAAAACCCAACGAAGCTGGGTCCTTGAATCCTAGTGCAGCAGAATTTGAAAATGAACGCCTACTGACAAATTCAAATAAGGTGAATACAAAAGATTCCTTACCAAATGGAGGAACAGAATTAGATGATAACATGCTTAAACCTAATCATGAACCAATTGCTACTAAACGACCTAAGAAGAGGAAGTCATCAAAGAAGGTGGTTAAGGCTCAATTCAACAAATACAATAACTTTGCTAGTAAAAATCCAGGTATGAAAAAGGCCAGATCAAAGGGCCATAAAAAGTACATGGTCCCAATAGAACTAGATGGTGATAATTTCACTGTCTCTGATCAATCCAATCTCGATGAGGAAGTTGAGAAGTTACTCAAGCCCATAGAGTCTCTTAATGATCTATTTGACATTCTTGGGGCCAAGATAGACTCAGAGACCGACACAGATTTAATGATTGATATTACTAGCCAGAACACTTATATTTCGGTGCCAAAGACTATCTTCGAATCCTTTTGCCCGAAAGTAGAAAATAAGAACATCGAAGTGGAAACTTTAAAAACTCATGAGGATCATAAATCAATAGGAGAAGTCGCTGAACATCTTCTTGAAGATGCACCTGAGAAAAGTCCCGTTGCAGCAGGTAATTTAACGGATTATTATACCACATAGATTGCTTTAATTTTAAAAATCTCAGAATTGCAGATGATATGGCGACTGACAGTAAAAATGTCAGCCCTACTAGTAAGGACATGACACCAAGCGTGAAAGGGCAAGGAAACCTCAACAATGTTTTCGCTAACTTGGAAATTATGGATGGAGAAAGCACCCTTATGGATGGAATTGATAGTGATGATGACAGTGATGCACCTCCACAACTTGTACCATCTCAAAACCTCCCGGTGAACCAAAAGTAAGCTTGATTTTAACTTTATAGGAAATCAGAGACTAAGCGTATGCCTGAAATAAGCATTGAAGAAATTAAAGTCCCAATGAAGAAAGATGAAAGCAAGCCAAAGAATCCGATGCACCAAGTGAAAACTTTGTCATTCAAGGTACCAAAAGATAGGATTTATGATCCTAATTTTGAGATTCAAAGACTTCGAGAAGAGCTTCGTCTCAGAGATGCAGAGATCCACCAGCTCAGCTCACAAGTTAATGTAATGAAAACCGAGAAAGATCCTTGATTAGCACACTTAATCGACGAGATAGATGAACCTAGATATCATCTAGCCTTCCTGTTTGCCTCCCCTTTGATAAGAAAACTGAACGCATCAATTGAGACTCTTCTCCAACTAGATTACAGGAAGGAGATAATGAATATTGAAAAACATCTTCGAGGGGTTGAGCATGAAATTAGGTACAAAGTCAATGTTGCCACTAGCTCAAATTTCAGAAGTGTGATCCAAGATGCCCCATATGCGGTTCATTTCACTGGCCATGGTATGAGAAACACAAAAGAAAACCTTGGCAATCTTTATGAAGGATTTAAAAATAAAGGAGATGTCCTCCTCCTTGAGGATGAAAATGGATTTGCATGAAACTTATTTGAAAATGATCTTAAATAAGCTAATGGATCTAAGCACTTCAGGAAAACCACAAGAGAATCATTATGAAGTGGTCTTCGTTTCATCATGTTTTTCAGAATTCTCAGCAGATATTTTTCTCAATTCTGGAGCTAGACATGTGATCTGCATTGATAAGGACCAGACCATCTCTGATAAAGCCTCTTTAAGGTTCTCACAGGTGTTCTACCAAGCTTTATTCGTTCAAAAGTATTCTGTATGTAGGGCTTTTGATCTGGCTAAAGAAGACATCAGGATAATAATAGACAATAACGAGGCTGCCAAGTATAGACTCCTAATTGCTGATGAGAAGGGAAATAAGAAAGTGAGCCATAAATGCTTCCCAATCACGAAATTTAAGAAAGGTTCGCTTTGAAAGTACGAAACCCTTCCTTTCTTTGACTGTGTGCCATCTCCAGTTGCCCATTTCAAGGGAAGGCAAAGTGAGATGTGAGAAGTTATGACAATTTTGGAGACAAACAGATTGGTCAATATCCTTGGCCCACCTGGGATTGGCAAGACAAGCCTTGTCAAAGGAATTGCTAATCATATTAGAGATAGGAAGAAGTACGTTGATGGCATCCTCTACATCAGTCTGAGACGTTGAGAATCTGCACAAATGTTTCTTACCAGGTTGAGTATTGGCATTCAAAATAATGGAAGAGTTGAAGAAGAAGAGAAACAAGAGCTAATAAAATTTTCAACTAAAGAGAACCCCAGTACGGATGAAGAGGAGCAAGAAGAACCATTAGAAGATCTCATGGGGCATTATATTATTAAAATTTTAAGAGATAAAGAAGCCTTGATAGTTCTAGATAATTGAGAAGATCCTCTAGAAGATGACGGAGTTCTTTTTGTTAAATATTTGGATACTCTTATAGATAACTGACCATTCATTAAACTTCTTTGAACCTCCAGAAAATATATTAACAAGCTTGAACATTGTCAAGAGATTCCATATCACATCTACTCTCTTTCTCCAAATGCTTCTGTTCTTCTACTATTAGATGCAGCCCCAAGACAGATCAGGAATGAGGAACTAGAAGAACTACTAGATTATGAAATTCCTCTAGATCATCCAATCAATCAGCATTTTCCTGGGATCCCTAGAAAGGCTAGGGTCTTACCAGATCATCCCTTAATTTCAATGCTTGGAGGTCATCCACAAGCTATCTCTCTTGCTGCTCCGATGCTTGAAAGTCAGACTTTACTGAGCTTATTCCAACAACTACTAGGATCCAATATCATGGATGCTTTATCACACAATAACACTCAATCATACGCTTCACTGAGGATGTCACTTGACATCTCAATTAAAAATCTTAAGAAAACCAGGAAAGAGGCTCTTGACCTGTTCAAATTCCTTGGCTTACTCCCTGGAGGTGTTAACCAAGAAGACCTGACTCAAATGTGGGGAAGCAGTCAGTGGAAGTCCTATAAAGAGAGCTTGATTAAGGCATCTCTCCTTGTATTTAAACCAAAGGAAGGATCTCTCACTCTCCTTCCTTTTATGAACACGAGAGCTCTTGAGCTTCTTGATGAAGGAGATGGACTTCAAAAGTCAATTTTCCATTTAAATTGCTGCACCTTCTACCAAGAGTATTGCCAGAGATGTCTTGAATCAGTCGGTAATTGAAAAAGGTACCATTGTATCATTAATTACATAGTGGCTTCAACCTGAAGGAATTTGTTGAAAAAGAATCTAACATCTGGGCATGTATCTACAGAGGAATAAACAGAAAGAAGGGTAATAATGAATACGATGAACAGAACGAAAGTTGTATCCAACTCCTAGCTAGCAGCTCTAAGAATAATGGAAACGAGGTCTTTAAAGACTTCACGCACAAAAAGAAGCATAACCTCACCAATCATCTGAAAGTTCAGAAAGTTCCTTTACATCCTGAGGAAGAGACAGATGCTGATGATGATTATGAAACTAGCAAAGAAGAAGACAACACTTATCTTAAAGTTGAAGAAAACTCATATTTAAAACAAGACTTCACTAAGAACTCTGAACATATGACTGAGAGCAGAACAAGGTCAGGATCTTCAAGGACTAATACAGGAATGGGGAAACAGATCGGAATGAAGCTCAGGAAGAACTACTCTGAAGAAGGATCCCAAGCTGAAGAATTAATGGTGATTTATTATGTAGCGACCCTCATTAGACTTTCTAAATTTTCTGATGCTACTAAAGCAATGAGTGAGTATAAAAATAAGACCAATCTGAGCAAAAAGGCTCAAGCTCATATGTACAAGATATTTGGAGTCCTCTGCATGATGAATGAGAAGAAAGATTATCGCAAAGGAAAGAGGTATTTCATAAAATCAATGAATAAATTTATTGAACTAAGATGCATTCGAGGTCAAGCCATAGCTCATCTCGGAAGTCTCAGATGCTTATGAGAGATAAACTTTAATCAGTGATTTAATAGCAAAGATATTTCTAATTCGATTACTACTGCTGAAGCCTCCTTATCAGAACTTGACCAGCTTGGGTTCTCAGATATAACAGAAAGAGCACAAATGTATGTAGATTGTCTGAAAACTAAGCTAGATGGGATAACATCAAGAGGCTTTAGAGAGACTCTTAAGAGGCATTCCTTCATTCTAAAATCCCCTACAAAATTTGCTCTGCATCAGACACTATTAAACAGCGAGGTGTTGCAAGACGAGGATATAAGACTCTTCGTATCTGTAATTTCATCTTGTCCTCTCTATCCCAGAGTGAACATGTCTAAAACTCCAAATAGCTTGCCTCTAAATCCTCCGCTTTCAAATCTAAATAAAGCCAGAAGAAAGAACAGTGATCCCAGCGAAAATATTAGGTAAGTATTTGTATCAATTTCCCAAATTTTAAATTCAGATTTTCCTTCACTAAAAATCTTGGGGGAATTTGGCATTGTGACTTCTATTGATAAATCTGTTCGATGACTAACTCGTATATAGAAAATAAGCACAAAAAGAGTCTCGAAAACGCAGTTCCAAACAAATTCTCAACAAAGCACGTTAGATCACAGTCCCAAGTAAAGAGTAAAAGGAAGGCGAGGGTGCCCTTGAAGATGTGCAAGTTGCCTTCGATTATCAAATCTGATGAAGAACAGTCACCTAAGGGTCAGTCCAAGCATGAACAGAAATAAGGGCTTGTCTCTATTGGGCTAGAGGACCTTACCAGTCATATTTTTGATATTTGAAATTAAAATGATATTACATATTTTGTATATAAAGCTCAAATTCTATATAGTTCATGTTATGGGGTTTTGGGGTTTTGGGGTTTTGGGGTTTTGGGG